GTTTTATGTGCTGCAGAACAGGAACCTGCTGTAAAACAGCAATTATGCTGAGTCAGGCTTGATTTTTAGTAATCTTTTCCTGTTAAATAAATAAATAAAATCAAATAAAATCGCAGCTGAAATGTTACAGTTTCACTTAAAAAAGGTGTCATTTAAACAGGATCTGAGTGTTTCATGTGACTGAATCCAGTGATTGGCTAATGCCTGCTTGGAGCACAGATCTAAAATCTGAGTCTCTTCAGCCTGATGAGCTGAACAGGAATAGGAGGAAAAGCAAAAACAAACAGTGTATTGTAATTCTGGCACAACTCCTCTTATTAGTAATGGGTTTTTAAAAAGCCTGTGGGTGGAAGCTAATGATGGTTCCTCAGAGGAGGCAGCTGGATTTAGCAGTAACAGAAACAAGACGAGCCCTGCTAACAGCCACTTCCTGCTCTGTGTGTCTCAGGGCCAGGTGGTGTTCGACGCTCAGGGCTCCAGGATGGCGAGGACGCTCATCGAGCAACTGCAAGGTAAAAAAACACCCCCGCACCGCGCCGTCCTTTCACCGCAGAGCCTGAAAGGAGCAACAAATGTCACTCATTCAACAGGAGGAAGGAAAGGAATCGATGCTTTCAGCTGAAAACATCGGCTGTGGTTCTTGTGGTCTTCGGCTCAAACGATGCAGACGTGGTGAATCAGAGCGCCACTCTAATTGGGCACAAGTCTTCGTTTTTAAAGCTGCTTCTGGAAACGGCATCCTATTTGTCACTGGTGACTTAATGAGTTTCTGCATGCGATAAGGTGGAGGATTATTTTCCACCTCTGTTCTCATCTGCGTTCCTAACGGGTGAGAATTTATAATCCTGCTTCCTGCCGCCGCGGCGGGGTAATTTGACATTCACAACGAGACGACCTGACTGGAATCCCTGAACGCCGGACCTCATCAGTATTCCCGGTCATCGCCGACACATAAGCTTTTATTTCTGGTGTTTTTCTCCTTGGTCTCCCCTTGGGTCTGTTGTCCCTCTTTATGCTCCGCCTCATCTATCACTTCTTCAAGCTGTTTATCTTTTTGTTTTTCTCTCTTCCCGTCGATTCCATTAGTTAAAACACCAGCGGTGAAAATAAACGTTTATTTACTGTTTCACACAGGTTGTTTTTACTTTCAGGTGGCGTATATAAGAAGATCGGTTACTACGACAGCTCTCAGAACAACCTCACCTGGAACGACAGCGACGTTTGGATCGGTGAGTTCACACCTGCTCCTGTTTCTCACATCTCTGACTCCAGAACGAAACATATGGATCGAGCATCAACACCTGCAGAGATCGTAGGGCTGGTCTGGTCCAGAAACATGGCAGATTTGAGCGTAAAATGTCTGGCAGGCCATTTGAACATAAAATCAGCTTTGTTTTACTAGCTGTAAATACATTCTAGATACTTAAACATCAGTTTCGACCTGAAAATAATTATTCAAGATATCTTAAATGTCATTCTGACCCGTCAGAAAAATAGAAAAGCCGTCTAGATGAAAAAATTATTTCAGATATTTTTAATTCATTTGGAAATATCTTAGGCGGCACGGTGGCTCAGTTGGTAGAGCTGATGCCTCTCAGCAAGAAGGTCACCGGTTCAAATCCTGGTCCGGGGACCTTTCTGGGTAGAGTTTGCATGTTSTCTCCGTGCATGAGTGGGTTCTCTCCGGGTACTCCGGCTTCCTCCCACAGACCAAAAACATGACTGTTAGGTTAA